TTCACATGTAGTTTCATTCAGCCAGGTGTCCCCCATTGTATATCTGTGTCCAAAGTACTAGAGTTTCAGTTCAATCATCTTGGCTACTAGGGAGAGTTCAGGCTTGATTTGTTTTTGCACCCATTTGTTTGTCTTTTTGGCAGTCCATGGTGTCCGCAGAGCAGCTTACTTATAGGATTTCGATCTACAGATGTGGGATATGGGAAGCTGCATTCTCTGGACACGATGCCCTGCTGAAGAGTCTAAAAATAGGCATCGCAGGTGTTACTGAGCTTAATATCTAGGGCAGAAACCATTGTCATCCGCTTCATATTTTAATTGCCTTCTCACAGCCTGCAGTGGCCCAAATTGGTGCAAGATGTCAGTTAATTAAGTGCATGTCAAACTCCTCCACAGGCTTTCTCATGTGTTTTGTGGCCATCCATTTGCTTTCCATTGTGAGACAGAAAAGATATTGTGGCCAAGTGCAGATTTTACTATTTGATTTATAGCTGCCTGTATCCAGGGAGCTTAGCTAAATCAGCCTCTTCCATACAATCATGAGGTTGTACACAGTAGGAAATTCAGATTTGGGTGTGGGATTATTGCTGCTCAGCTCTGCACTTTGTGGTAGCCTTTAACTAGTTGTTTTTTCTCAGCCTTAGGGTCTCTACAGATTGCCAGAAATAATGCAGCTTGAGTCCACTTTAACTGCCCTGGCTCAGTGCTAGGGAATCATGGGAACTGTAGTTTATTGTGGCACCAGAGCTCTCTGACAAAGAAAGCTCAATCTCTCAGAAAAAAATCCTTCTAATTTTTGCTCATAAAAGAACCAGTGCTTGTAAGTGCATAACTTTGGGAACTTTTCTTTCTCTTTTGTGAGTGTATAGACATATCAGTAATCCTGATTCACTGCAGCTCCAGCCATACTCCAGTGCTTTGATACTTTGCTTTCTACCTGAATCTGAAATGTTTTGTTTCGATTTCCAAGATAATGTTTTTCGTGTTGTTAACTGCCTTCAAGTCAACTTTGATCTATGGCAACCCTATGAATAAGAAGCTTCCAAGATGTCCTATCTTCATCTACCCAGGTCTTGCAGATTGGCCATGGCTTCTCTAATGGAGTCGATCCATCTGGAATGCGCTTTTCTTTTCATATTGCCCTCCATTTTGACAAGCATTATTGTCTTTTCTAGCGAGTCCTTTCTTTTTATGATGTGGCCAAAATACAAGAACCTTGATTTAGTCATCTTTGCTTCCAGGGCGAATTTGGTCCTTATCTGCTCTAGGACCCATTTATTGAGTTTATTTGCATCCTCTCTGCTTTCTTTACTGTCCAGCTTTCACACCCATT